CTTGTACAGGGTGAACATTATTGTAAAAAATAATCACCTTGCTTGTGAGGAAATAATTAAAAAGAAAACTTTAAATTCTGAATATTGATGTATGTAATCGTAGCAATGGAGAAAACCAAGTCTTACCTCAGAAAATAATTTGTGTTCTTTATACTATCTGTGGAAAATTTGATTTATTTTGTTTAGTGGCATATCAACATCTCTATGGGCCTTTTAATGCTGAAATTTCAATAATCTGAACACAATTTTATGTCTTCAACTAAATATATTATAAACCCAATTGTATGCCTACGACTACAGATAAAATGTATTGATGATCATTTTGATTTAAAAATGTATGTTTAGCAGCATACAAATTCCTTAGGGATCATTTCATGCTGAAATTTAATTTTCTTGGGAGCATTATTAATTTCTTTTACAAAAACGTATTGCTGGTATTTTTACTAAAAAAAATGTGTTTTTATACTTTCATAGATTTTTGGGGACTAACTATTTGTTCATAGCTGGGGTACTAACACCCCTGGTTAGGGTGAACCTGGGAACAACAACAATTAAGAGTTGGTTCCATGCTTCTCAAAACCTCTAATCTCACAATCAGAGGCCTTGCTGCTAGACATAATTTATTAACATACGCAGGACTAAATTGTGGAGAGATAATCAGAATTAAGTTCGTTACGGAAATAGGTAACTATTTGCACTTCTCTAGCAGTCTCAAAGAATCGCAACTTTTCTTACCCCTAATAAAAGAAAACTATTCGCATCACCATATTGTTTGCCTTTTCATTGGCGAAGAAGGCAGTTGTGTAGTGCAAGTTCTGAACTTTTGACTTTTTTGATTTACATCCCTGGCATTATCTGATATTGGCCTTTTAACACTGATTTTTGAACCTTTGAATTATGACCTCTGGCTTATGGTTTTGGAGGATTTGAACCTTCCTATTTTTATTTTTTTATTATCAAGAAAGAAAGAACTGTTTCATAGAAGTTTTGATTTCAATAATTTATGGATTTAAGGAAAGCAAGAACTGGTTCCTAAAAACGTAGCATCTCAAAAAGTTAGAAACGAGAAGAAATTAACATACAATACCTAAAAATTTTGAATGTCTAAAATTTATAGATGCAGGGAAAGAAAGAATCAGTTCCTAAAATATTTAAATCTCAAAAAATTATGTATGTACTGTAAGAAGATAAATAATTCTTAAATATTAGTCCTAAAAATTTACAAATGTAGAGAAAAAGAGAACAGGTTACTGAAAATGTTGAAGCACAAATTTTATGCATGCTAAAGAAGAGAAAAACAATTCCTAAAAACTTTGGATCCTAAATATTTATGTGTGTAACAGAAGAGAGAACCAGTTCCTAAAATATTGATTACCAAAAAATTTATTTATGTAAAGAAAGCAAAATCCAATTCCTAAAACCTATGAAACCATAAAATTTGCTGAAGTAAGAGAACCGATTGCTAAAAACTTTAAATCTTGAAATTTATGGATGTGACAAAAGAGAGACCAGGTTTCTAAAATCATTGAACACCAAAGATTTATGAATGAAATGAAGAAAACAGATTTTTTAAAGTTTTGAATCTCAAATATTTATGGATGTATAAATGGAAGAAGTGATTTCAGAATATACTTTGAATATCAAATTTTTTGAATTAAACACAAGAAAAGACAGGCTTCTAAAATTTTGAAAATTCTAACAACTGAATAAAAAGAGAAACAATTTTTAAACCATTTTATGGATGGAAAGTGAAATGTGGTTCCTACGAAACTAGATTCTCAAAATTTTTGTAAATACTGAGCGGATCAATTCCTAAGAACTTTACATTCCAAAGATTTGTATATATAAAGTGAGAACCTGATGCTAAAAGTTTTGGATACCAAATTTTATGATATAATGCATGAAAAAACTGGTTTAAAGTGTTGAATTCCAAAACAATCTTAATCTAAAAAAAAGTTGTTGAATCTATAAAAATCTTGGGCCAAAAATAAGTGTGTTTTGGTTTAGAAAACCAAAAAACCAAAAATGTAAATAGAGAAAATAAATTCCTTAAACCTTTGAATTCCAAAGATTTGTGGATGTACAGAAAGAGAGAACCAGTTCCCTAAAGGTTTAAGAACCAAATATTTATGAATGGAAAACAAGCCAGAATAGTTCTCAAAAACATTAAATCATAAGAATTTATAGATGTAAGAACATTATTCATAAAAGTTTTGAAAGCAAAAAATTCATGGATGCAACCAAAAAAGAAAGAACTGGTTCCTTATAACTTTTTGTTTCCAAATTTATGGATATAAAGCCAAAGACAAAATCTTTTTTGAGATCTTTAATCCCAAAAATTTATATATGAGAATGAGAAAATAAGGTGTTAAAATGCTGGATCCCCAAAACTTATTGAGGTAAAGTAAGAGAGTATGGGTTCCTAAAAATAGTGCATCAATGGAATTTTAGAAAGGAGAATCAGTATAAAAATTCTGAATTATAAAAAAAATGATGGCTGTACAGAAAGAGTGAACTGATTTCTAAATCTTGTATCCCAAGAATTTACAGATGTTCAAAAAGAGAGAATTCTCACTACATGCGGTGTCCCTTCATGATGTAGGCAACCATGTCTGCAAAAATTCCTCTCCTTTCTAGCTCTTAATTAATTTTGTCTTTTCGTTATCTCTCCTAAACCTTGTTCTGATTTTCACTTACACAAACACTCTAAGTTATGTATTGTTTTCCTTTGTACTGCTTGCCTTCAATCTGTCCTGTGAGTATCAGATTTTCCAATCCCTCTTTCCTCATTATGAGCCCTAGAAATTTCAACTAACTCTTTACAAGTTTCCTTTGTGCTTCCATTTTTTTCCAAAACATTGTTACATGTTTGGTCAATGGAATTTTCAGCATCCTCCTGTAGAACCATATTTCTGTTGCCCTATGTTTACTCTTCATCTTTGAGGAGATTGTCCAGCATTCACTGCCATACAGGAGGACTGATATCATGTAACAGTCCACTACTCTTTTCTTTGTTTCTAACAAAATTTTTCTATTTCATAATATTTTGTGTAGGTTTTGTAATACATTCTTGGCTATCTGAATACATCTTTAGATTTTAGTATCACTCTTTCTATCCTCTATTAAAACATCCCAGATATTTAAATGTTTGTACTTGTTTGACTTTGGTAGTACCAATTTATAAGTTGTATATTGGGATGTTCCTTTTGCTAACAACTATGGATTCCGTCTTTTTGCAGCTAATGTTTAGTCTTTTCTTCTCACTTTTTTTTTTTAACTACCTACTCTATTTAACAAAAAGAGATTCTTAACATTATTGAATCAGAGGAAACTTTGTCTCTAAAATTTATTAATCCTAAAAATGTATTGCTGTAAAAGAAAAAAAGAAAATTGGATGTTAAGTATTTTAAATCACACAATGAATCAAGAATCATAAATTCACATGATGGTCTTACAAGTTGGACACTAACTCTTTTTGCATTTTGCTTCTAAGTCTGATGACAGTTACATGGAAGAAACTCTAGTAATGATGTTCATCAATGGGTCAAAGCAAAAAAAAAATTGCATTTTTACCTGCAGGGCAGTTCAAGGGTCTTATCCTCACTAATCTATGATACAGGTCAGCCCCCAGCAATCTATGATACAGACCCCACTCTACTACATCTTATATTTTATAAGGTAGTATACCTATAGAATACAAATTTTAATGTAACCTATTTATTATTTTGTTGGGGACGAGTGAAATGTATTAAGCTTTCTTTAACTAGAAATGTTGTAATTAATCAGAAGGATTTTTGGTTTGGCAGGTGTGTTCAAAACTTCATCTTCAATAATAAAATATTTCAAACTATTGAAATACAATGAGGCAAAGAATCAATTCAAACAATACACACATTTATATACAATTAAGAAAATATTTACAATAATGTTTTAAGACATCAAATGTTGGTGTGTTTGTATTTGTATTAAAAGATCAAGTTTGTTTGAGTCTTTTGATATATTTGTGAACTATTGTAAAGCTAAAGTTAAATGAGTTTTTGTAAATTAAATGTTCATTTACTATTCAACGTGAATGTGTATGTAATTATGTACTGTTTGTTTTGGTTAAGTCATTCAATGTTGCATACCTTTATCTGTAGTTTAAGGTTTATGTCTGATCACTATTTTTACTTGAATGGTAGTGAATATAATCATTCAACTTTAGTTAAGTAAAAATGTTCAAAGTTCATCAGAGAGGATTATTGAGCCAAATTGTCGTTGAGTCAGTAGTGTTTTTTTACACGGGAAATTCTTGTTCGGAGTTGCGTGGATATGGTTGGTGTTTCTCTGCGTTCAATGTTCTGCGCCCTAGGTCAGTCCAAAATCTTCCTTTTATAGGTTTTTGGACATACAAATCAGCTCCCAGAATTTTGGCGCAATTTACTTCTTTTCACATGAGTTTTCGAATTTTTGAGCTGTAAGCCAATAGAATTCTTAGTTCAGAAAAAACAAGGTTTTCATTGGATAAGTTAGTGTATGTGGGTGTAAAAGATAATAGATTGTTCCTGTGCATAGGGGTGTTAAGGTAATGTGGGCAATTCCACAATGTACAATAATGGATCATGTGCAACATAGGTGAACAATTCAACTAGAAAAATTGAAAATAAATACAATGTATCTAAATACAAATTAGAGACATGCCATAACAGATCATTATGTCTTAAAATAAATCAACAATGATTGTAGAAATTTTTAATGTCAACTTGAGATTTTTTTTTGTATAAAGTTGAATAATTTTGACACGTTCAATATTATGGATAATGGTGTTTTGAGACTAAGCATGAGCAAAACACATTCACAGATTTGGACAAAAATAAAAGACCCCAGAATTATGTCAAAATCTGCCAAAATCTTTCATCCTTTAATAGTCAGTTGTGCTTAGTTTAATTTTAACATATATAAATGTAAGTAGAAAAAAGAAAATGTTGCCTAGAGAAGAGAGAAGTATTGATAGAATGAAACTAAGATGGAGCCAGAGAAGAGAGAAGTATTGATAGATAGAAACTAAGATGCAGAGATGGACCCAGGGAAGAGAGAAGTATTGATAGATAGAAACACAGATAGAGATATTGGAGCAAGTGATGAGAGAGATATCTATAGATAGAAAGCAAGATAGAGAGATGGAGCCAGAGAAGAGAGAAGTATTGATATATAGAAACTAAGATGGAGCCAGAGAAGAGAGAATTATTGATAGATAGAAACTAAGATGGAGCCAGAGAAGAGAGAAGTATTGATAGATAGAAACTAAGATGGAGAGATGGAGCCAGAGAAGAGAGAAGTATTGATAGATAGAAACAAAGATAGAGATATTGGAGCAAGTGATGAGAGAGATATCTATAGATAGAAAGCAAGATAGAGAGATGGAGCCAGAGAAGAGAGAAGTATTGATAGATAGAAACTAAGATGGAGAGATGGAGCCAGAGAAGAGAGAAGTATTGATAGATAGAAACTAAGATGGAGAGATGGAGCCAGAGAAGAGAGAAGTATTGATAGATAGAAACTAAGATGGAGAGATGGAGCCAGAGAAGAGAGAAGTATTGGTAGATAGAAACAAAGATAGAGATATTGGAGCAAGTGATGAGAGAGATATCTATAGATAGAAAGCAAGATAGAGAGATGGAGCCAGAGAAGAGAGAAGTATTGATAGATAGAAACTAAGATGGAGAGATGGAGCCAGAGAAGAGAGAAGTATTGATAGATAGAAACTAAGATGGAGAGATGGAGCCAGAGAAGAGAGAAGTATTGATAGATAGAAACTAAGATAGAGAGATGTAGCCAGGGAAGAGAGAAGTATTGGTAGTTAGAAACCAAGATAGGGAGATGGAGCAGTGGGAGTGGGATGTTCACTTTTTCTTAAGTCTTTTCTTGTTTTTATCTTTTCCTTCTACCTCTGAATTTCTTTTTCTGTTGACAATACAATCAATACTTGCTTCCTTTTTAATCACTCCTGAATCCACCCATTCACCCATCCACCCACATTAAATGACTTTACTTTGGCTTTATTTTAGTTTCGTTTAATCCGTCTCTCTCTTCTGCCTCGTAATATTGTCAACAATTTTCAGGATTTTTTACCATTTTTTCCCACTTAATTACTTTATCACGTGTATGCCATTCTTTTTTTTGTTTTTGTTTTACTTTCTTTTTGCTACTCTCGCCTCCCTCTCTCTCTCTCTCTCTCTCTCTTTCTGAGTTCCTGTTTTCCCCTTTTTTAATCTCTTTCCTCCCCCCATCACCCATTATATTTGTTTTTTAACTTTCTCTTCAAAATTACCCTCCTAACTCATCAATGCACATACCTTTTTGCAATTCAAACACCGATGTCTTCTGTCCGCTATTATGGCGCCTATTGTGACGTTATGCAAATGGTTGGGGTGGCCCTCTGCAGGAGATCAATATTCCAACAAAAGATCCCATTTCTTATCCCCGGTTCACCATTTGCTACCATGACCAGCCGGATCTGAGACTAATAAGAGCCAAAAAGAATAATGGCTATAAGAAAAGTGTCTTGAACCAAAAGAATGGTAAAATGTGAATTCTTTGAGGTGAGCTGAGAAGAGTTCTTTTACAGGTACATACATGCTTTTATAAAATTCTGTGTAACACCTTCACAGACTCAGATTATGAATAGGATTTTGTAGCTTTGTGCAAAGAAGGAATGAATCAAGAGTATAAAATATTAAAAATCATGATTACAGTAATGTCACATTGTATATATAACAGAGATGTAGACTTGTTACATGGAGCCTTTGATTTTATCCCCCGCACACACTTTTTACTATTCAACTCTAAATTTAGTTTAGTCTTACACAAGTACAAATGTAGAGAAGATTGTGTAGCATCACTTCTCATATTGGTGAGGATTTGGACACTATTTAAGATCCTGACATTTAACTGGATTGTACAATGTGAGCTGGAAAAGAGAGCATCTGTGGTATCCTACTGTGCTATTATGTCTGGTGGGTTGACCATGTCCGCTGCATGGATGACTGTCACCCCACAAAAAGATTGTTCTATGGTAAGCTCATCTACTGGCAAGCACTCACTTGACAAACCAAAGAAACATTACAAAGACACACTGAAGAAGTCTCTCAAGCATTGTGGTATTCTCCATTCCACCTGGGAAGAGTCTGCTGAGAACCATGCCGTCTGGCACTCACTTGTAAGGTCTGACGTGTCTAATTTTGAAGAGAAAAGAATAAAAGACAAAGAACAGAAACGCCAGAAAAGATCAAGAGGGTTTCGACTCCTGGCATGGCTTAGACCTCAACATCCCATGTCACAACTTCAACAGATTTTTCAGGGTCAAGATCAGACTCATTACTCATCTCCACACCCACCCCATACCCAAATAATTTGAAATCAAGGTCGTTTCCACATGCAGGGACCAAACGAAAACAATATGAGGACATGTATTTGAGTGGTTAAAATATTCACTTTCCAACCATGTGACCCAGGTTTGAATACCACCATGTTTGTTTTGTCAGGAAGGTGATTTTTTGATGTTAATCATCCTGGGAGGGTGATCCCAGTGTGTGGCACCTTTGAAAACTGTCTGAAAACCCACACTACATGTTGATCCATGTTGTCAATGAAATTGGGTAGATGGAACCACTGGGGAGCTGTTGAGGGTTGTACTAACTCAAAGTAACTGAAGATTAGAGGACACTGGCCTTGTTCAGACTGTTAACACCAGATAATGCATACTCTCCAAGAAACTGTAACTCAATAACCATAACATAATTGCAATATAAACTAATAATGCAATATAATGTTGTATAAACGTAGATGTGCCTGAGCAGGTCTATGCAACATGATTGGCTAGCTTCTCTAGTAGACAGGCATACATGGACATGAGCAGTCAGCCATTACAATGTGAGGGGGTGAATCTTTCTCATATTTTATTTGATGACTTGTTTTAGACGACTGGTTCCAATCTTTTTCCAGCTGCCACCTCCTTGTCTCCATGGCCACACCCTCAGAAACCACCTTTCCCATATGAAAACATGTCTTTGTTGATATCTGATAGATGCCAAATTCAAAATGACAACCAATTTGCCAGTGTAAACACATAGATGCATTTTGGTTTTCTTTCAAGAACAAAAACTCTAATCTGGAAATATAATCTTAAAAGGTATATAATTTATTTTTAATGTGTTTATTATTACCTATATCATGGGTTTTTCATTATTATTATTGTTAACTATACTCTTCTACCTTTCAGATTACTATTATGAAGACTGTTAATGCTAATCCTCCCAAGGATTGAACTCTTCATCCTTGGCTATGTGCAGAAGAAATCTAATTACCTTCAAAATGCCTGAAGGCATGCATCTAAGCTAATGATACAAAGAATGCCATTGGCTCAATGATACAAAGAATGCCATTGGCTCAGTGATACATTGGCTCAATGATACATTGGCTCAATGATACATTGGCTCAATGATACAAAGAAAAATTGAGGTAGACTCATTCTGTCACTTATAACAGAAAATGGTCGATGAAATTGCCCGAATGGGCTGCCTATGAATTAAAATATCTGCCTTTGAAGTCAGTGACAGTGAAAGTAGGGATTTGAAGAAAACCAATCGTGGAAAGTGTGGATTTGTGGTTATTTGGATGTATGTATGGTGGAGTAATGGATAGCAGCTCGGATTGCAGAACTGGAGAACCGAGTTCAAATTCTAGCCAAATCCATTATATTCACTTATATGCTAATACCCTTGGGAAAGGTATGAATCCTCCACTTCTCCCCCAGCTATGGGTAAATAGCAGGACAGACTGGGTTTTTTAGCCTTAGATGGCAACTGGTCCACCACAGAAAGAAATAGCAACCTGCTGCCAGAAAAAATCTGCCTTGTCAGTCATGTATCAAAAGATACATGATCACCTAAGCATGTATCACACATACCATAGAATAGACTCTGAATTGGTGACAGTTTTAGTATATTTTTGCTACAGGCAGGTTGGACAGGATAATTCAACAATATTTTTGTTGAATTATCCTGTCCAACCTGCTAATGAGCCCACATTATGCTCTTCTGCCATTCAGATGACTATTATATAGGGATTGTTTATGCAAATCCTCTCTAGGATTCAACTTTTTATCCTTGCTTAACAAATATCATTGAATTACCTTGTCGCTCATGCTTATTAAATATGAGCCCACATTTCTCCATAAAATCTTTTAGTAATTTGTTCAGAAGGTGAAATATTCATTTATCTCTGGGATCTATACTGGGTAATTTCAGTGCTTAAACAATTCCTTTCATTCATGTAGTTTTCATTTTCAACCTGAGATCTACTATTATGAGAGTTCTCTATCAAGAACCTTTCACAGAATATTTTCAGGGCCAGACTCCTGAAGTAATAGGATACTAAGTTTTAATCTATTCTTCTCGATGTGGGACTTTAAATTTGGTGTTATAAACATCAGTAACTGAATGATAATTAGGACAGTAGTGACCTGAATGTCTCATATTCTGGTAGCTTCATTCTGCAGGTCAGTGTAATATTTGTGGGGTACAGCGTACCTGGATTAAAAGGAGAATTTAATATGGGATACCCTGCCCACAAAATACAACACAAATTTCAAGAAAACACGATAAGGAACATTTGTAGAAAATAGAACATTGTATATTTAATGTCATTCATGCAGAATAAACAAATTTGTATATTTTTATATCTTGTGAATAGGGTAAAAAATATTAATACTTTAGTTCGTTTAAGCAAATGTGATTTGAACAAAAAAATATCTATGTGTTCGCTGTCTTTCAACAGAGTAGTAGAGTAATGTCTGTTTCTTTTGTTTTTGTGTATCTGCCGAGTAGGTAGAAAGGAAAAAGTGACGATCAATTTAAGTTGAAAAAGAGAGTGTGAATGAGAAATAAAAGATAAGAGGAAAATGTACTTATCGGGTTGAATTGTTTTGGAGTCAGTTGTAAATTTGTTGTTGTTGTTTTCCTTTCCTACCTCACTTTCTGCTCTTAGTGTCTGGTTGAGTCAGTGACGGACCTGACTGTCAGTCTTCTGTCCTCTATGATCTCTGCGCCCTTCTGACTGGTGATTGACTCTTGAGTCTCTCTATTTATAGCTGACTTTTTTTTCACACTGGATCGTTATCTTTTTTTTAGTTTAGCAAATCGACTCCTTTCATTGGTCAGAAAATTAATTTTCACACCTTATTTAAATCTGTTTTTAGTCGTTTTTGATTCTGATTTTATGGGGTGTAAATCTCACTTACTTTGTGTTTTTCAGTTATTTGTTGGAATGATATAGGATTTGTATCCTATATATTATTAGTTTATTATTTATTATTAGTCTTCTGCACAGTTTTTCATTTTCAGCTGGAGATTTTGCTTTATGGACATTTTCCATCAAGTTCCATGTACTCAGGCAGAGAGTACCTCATATAATATTTGTAGTACCAGGCAATGTAGACTTTTGAAGTGATAGGATACTAGGTTTTATTTAAGTTTTCCTTAATGTAATGCCTTAAGTTTGGTGATATAGACAACAACACTTCAATGATAACTAGCACAGAAAGGGTGTGAATGTGCCACATTCAAGTAACCTTATTCTAGAGGTTGATACATTTCTTGAGCTTGTATGGTCACCAGAGGAATCCAGGTTGATGAGGTGGCTTTTTCTTGTTCAATTATTATTATTATTATTATTATTATTTGAACTTATGTCTCACATAGGAATAGAAATTGATAAATGAATAACAAAATATAAAGAAAAGATGAATCCTCTCAAG